TATATATATATATATATATATATATATATGGACAGATAGATAGACAGATAGATACTCCCCTTAGCCCCCTCCCTCACGCAAAGAGTGGCATCTCCACAAAATGCGGGTACATCATCTTTTCCTGCATGACCGCGCGTATCTCAGCCAACACGAACTGTGAGATGACGCTCTCATCCATGAAGACAGCATCCTCCTCCTCCTCCGAGCCGAGATGGCTGCTCCCCACGTGTGTCCACGCGTCAGAGGCCTCCAGGTTGTCACACGCGGGCGGCGCTCCTCCGGGCAACTCCGCCGACCGCAGCGTGTGCGCCCGTCGCTCGCCAAATACCGCCATGATGTTCATGCGCGTGATGGGCGACGTCGAAAGTTTTCCCGGCTCTATCCACACGCGACAGGTGCTGCGGTGGAGGTTGACGCAGAGGTAGAAGTCCATGTCCATCTTGGAGAAGTGCAGCGCCAGCGGCATGCGCACGGGAAGCGTGGTGGGGCCGAGCACAATATCGTGCCGCAGCACCGCGGACACCGACACGCGCATCGGTCCACCGTACGTGACGTGCAGGCAGACGTAGAGCCCGCCCGGCCCCACAAGCGGGGCGAGCGCGTCTGCGACTGGCGTGTGCGGCTGACTCGCACTCGTGCGCGTCGTCGACATCCACTTCGTCGCCGACAACGTGGGCCCGCCACCGCCGGACGACTCCGTCTCACTCATGCAGTCGCCGCCCAGCAGCGACGAGACTACAGGGGAAGGCCGGTGCGCTGCCGCCTCCTGTCGGGCGAGCACAGGGTCGTGCGCGTTGGGGTCGCTGGTGCTAGTGCCGAAGTCCACCGCGTCGCCGAGCTCGAGCAGCTCTACGAAGGGCGGCACGTTGCCCCACTCGATGCTCGTCACGTGGAGTCCCTCCACGCGACTGCTGCTACCAATACCAATGCTACTACTACTACTACCACCATTACTACTGCAGGTGGTGGCGGACGCGTCGCCGCCAGCCATCGAGCCGTGCGCACGGCGCCGCAGCTCCTCCTCAATCTTGGAGTTCACCAGCGAGCGTATCGCCTCGGCTGCCGTGACGTCGAGGCGGTCCCAGTTGAACTGCAGACACATTTGATATCCTCCGCCCAGCGATGCTGCTGCTGCTGTAAGGAGGTAAAAAAAGAACCAGGAAAGAAAGAGACGTGGGGGTTCCACCTCACAGTGACACGCACAGATGCACGCACCCGCCAGTTCGTCACTAACCACATATGTAAAGAGAGTGGTCGGGTGGGCACTCAATGGAGTCGTAGCAAAACCAGAATGGTTCCCTCACACCATCAAGGAAAAAAAAAACGTGATTCGTCTCATTTCATCGCCCCTCATTCTTTTCCAGTCTCCTTACCTTCATTCGCTTCCTTGCCAGAGTCGCTGCGGCACCCTCGCTTGCAGCCATGCGCCGAAGGAAGCACGCACACACACACACACACACACAGAGAGAGAGAGATATGGAGGGGTAAAAGAGCAAAGTGTCATTCCGAACGTAAGCTCTCTTACAACCAGCTAGGCAAATAGAAATATATATATATATATATATCCTAAATAATAATAGTAATAAACGGCGCATTCCCTTTCACATGTCACTCCCATCTCACACTTCTTCCCCCATCCCCCCCGCCCCTCTCACTCTCTCTTTCTCTCTCCTTGTCACTCACTTTTTTTTTTCTTCTAACACATCGTCCTCACGGCCACGGGAACGCAGTTGGTGGCGGCGCAATGTCGCCACCGCCGCCGCCGCCGAGGCCGAAGTCTTTGATGATGACGTCCCGCCCCTCCTCCGGCTTCGTGTCCCGCAGCAGGCAGATGCCAGACGGGTTGGGCTTAAGCGGCACGTAACGCGGATCCACGTCGTGCGTGATGACAGCGAACTGTCTTGCTGTCACGCGGGACAAGTTTGCCAGTACCTCGAAGCTCGGCTCCTTCTCCTTCTTCCCCTCTTCATTCTTTTCCTCCTCTTCATTCATCTTTTTCTCCTGCCGTGTGGGGGCGGTAGAAGCAGCGGCACCAGCTGCCTCGGCCGCCTCTGAGTCGGCGGCCTTTCCGGCGCTGCTCATCCGCTTGCGCCGGTTGAACTGTTCCTCCTTCTTTGTCGTGGAGAGAACAACGGCCTGAAGGGCGGACGTTTTTGCCTCCTTCTTCTCCGCCAAAACACTCTTGGGAAGAGCAAAGCGACTTGCTGGGGCGTTGGACTTGAACGCATAGCGTGGTGTCTCGAGGTCTTCATTTAGCGCAATGAGACACGTCGGTCGCATTGCCAGCGTGACCATGAGAATGTACGGGAACCAGTACCAGTGCTGCAGGAATATGAACATGCCAACCACCGCCTTGTCCAGGCGATGGCGCTGGCGGTGTAGTGCAAAGGTGCAGTTGCGGCCGCCGGCGTCTAGAAGGCCAGAGGCAATAATACAGCCAAACTTGGAGCACATGTCCTCCTTGCGTCCGGCGATCTTCTTTGCTAATATGTCACGGAACTCCTTCACCTTTGGGTTCTCCACCTCCGTCACCTGCACCATGACAATAGCGAGCGCGATGTATGCACCCTGGCGCACGAAATCCACGAGGTCGTTCTTCAGTGTCCAAAGGACTTCAATCACATCGGACCTACCCGTTCCCGCCGCCGCCACCGCCAGAGCCATTCCAACACCGTAGCGTATGTGCGGATTGTAGCTGTCGAACAGGACGCGGGTGAGCTCAAGGCAGAGTGATGGGTCCTTTATGGTGAGAAAACCGATCATGGTGACGGCGTTGCGCCTGACGTCGTCTGAGGTGTCCTTGACCGCGACGCTCAGCAGACGCTCAATCACCTTGATATTCTCCGCCCCCGCGTAGCCGAGGCCGAGCATGAAGCAGCCGCCCAGACGCACCCACGGGTCGGCATCGTCGAGGAGCTCGTTCGCTGTCGCCCAGCACTCATCCTCGCGTCCCAGCATCATGAGCGCCACCGCCATAGAGATACCACGGATGGTCTTCTCCTTCTGGTCGTCCTCTGACGCGAGCGCCAGCATGGTCTGAATAGCACCACGGTTACCGCTACCCATCATGACCATACCAATGCCGAGCGCAGCGCCCTCGCTGGCGACAGCATCGCAGCCGCTCACACAGGCGAAAAGCGAGTCGAAGAGCTCCTCCTCTCGAAGCCCCATAGCCGCAAGACCAATACCCAACGATGCACCATGAATGATCTGTTCACTTGTGCTGTACTTGCGCAAGGCATTCTTGAGGTAGTCGATTATTTCACGGTTGCGTGACACACCAATTGGGGCATGGATCAGGCCCAACGCGTAGAGGGCACCTGCTTCTTGATATGGCAACATTCCGACGCTTTCCTTCGGCAAGTACGGTTCCATCACAGTGAGTGCCTGGTCAATGTGACCGCGGTGAATCGCACCAATGGAGGCAGCCACCGTGAATTTGGCCCAGTAGTTTGCTCGGCCCAACCATTCCATATTGGCGCGCAGGAACGCATCGATGGTGGTGCCACTGTACATGAGGGAGTGGGCTATCACCGTGGCGTTGTGGGGCACCGTCTTTTTGGCATCAATAGACTGCTTGATGTGGTTCAGGATGTGTATATCGGCGTTGACCCGGGTATACAGGAACGTGAGATACAACGAGACGCCTGTTTCGCCTGTGAGCGCTGCCAGAAGTTTTTGGTACACAACCGAGAGCTTGTTGGAATTCTCATTCTTTGCAGTCTCGTTTTCTCCTTCCGCGTTGGATGTTGGCGGTGCTGCGGTTGGGGCATCATTGGAGGCTTCTGTTTGGGCTCCACCTGGTACAGCTGCTGCCGCAGCAGCTTCCTTTTCGATCTCTGCTACGACAGCAGAGAGGAACTCCTGGTTTCCATACTCGTACAGATCAAATGCAAGCTGGTAAGCAGTTGCCTTATCGCCCGCACGGATGAGGTCACCAATAAGGTTTGCAGTAGACATAGAGTCACCAAGGAACAGGAGACACTGTGCACGGGAAAAATAATCAATGGTGCTCAAGCCACTCTGCGCGTACAGCTCCGCCAGCAGTCGCAGTATCTCCCCCCTGAAGGCGATGTCGCGGAGCAACACATTGGCCACTTCGAAGGTAAAGTTCAAGATGGCGGCAGATTTGGTGGCGGTAATGTGCTGTTTTAGGACCTTATGCAGAAAGTCAAGTCGGCGCGCGCGGATGGTGAAGCCAACAAGCTCCTTTACTGGTGTGTCATCCTGCATAATCCACTTGTTTGTGAGCGCGGTAAAGAGGCACTCAAGACGTGGGTCGAGCTCACCGCGGGAACCCTCCGGCTGCTCTTGGTACTGCACGAACTGGTCGATGCAACGGCTGAGTATGGTGTCCGTAAATAGGGAGCGCTCAACATAGTTGAACGCGGGCCCTGCCGCGAGGGCGAAGTGCACGGACTCGTTGTAGACGCCGAGGTGGAAGTACACATGCGAGGCGACCAGGGCAGCAAGGCGGCGCGTCTCCTCCGTCAGGTCACTCGACTCGTGTAGCTCTTCGATCAGCGCAAGGTCGGAGCTGATCTCGTACCAGTACGTGTCCACCAGCTCACGCAGCCGCTTCAGGGCGAACTGCAGCACGTCGGGGTCCGACTCCCGCAACAGGGCGAGGACGCCCTTGGAGGACGAGAGACCGAGGACCATTTTGCCTGCTGATCTCTTGACACTTTTCCCACTTCCCTTGTCTTTCTTCTTTGCTAGTGTCTGTCTGTGTCTGTATCTGCGTCTGTGTGCGTGTGTGTGTGCAGGAACCAGTCCGACGATGTGACGTATTTGTTTTTTGGCCTGGTGATACCTTTTGTTTTGTATTTCCTGGTTTGCTTGTTCCAATTGAGGAGAGAGCAGTGGGGGGAGAGAGAGAGAGAGAGAGAGAAGGGCACCCAGCTGCGAGCCACCACACTATCACACCAGATCAAAGACAGACGCAGACACACACACACACACAGTCAAACGTGCAGGTGTGGACATGTTGAAGAGAAAGTTAAACCATGGTTACTCGATGTAGACTGGGAGTGTGGCTGTCTACACGTTTCGGTCAAAGCGCGCCACGTAGAAGCCGTTCGTCGCATCTACTGCAGGATCGCAGCGGATGGTGTAGTCCAGCGGGAACGCGTCATCGTCCGCCTTACGCCCGCGCGTGCGCCATGTATCGGGCATGATGTGGCTCAGAGTCCACCCGCGCGCCTGCACCCGCTCGTCGTTCAGCACCTGCCGCACAACTCCCTCATTCTCCTCCTCGTGCACGGAACACGTTGAGTACACAACAGTCCGGCAGCGGTCGAAGGACAGCAGGGCGTGCGCCAGCAGTTTGCGCTGAAGGCGTGCGAGGCTCATAACACGGTCGGTGTTGCTGGCAAACTCGGCGCCGTGTTCCTCCGCACTGATGGCCCCCGCTTCACCCACATCGTCATTAGCGTTGTCG